TAGCAGCATATAGAGGGTCCCAAGTACACAGTAACCTTTAGTTACTCACAAGACCACATTCCTTTCCTATGTAGACTCACCCTCTAAGTATTTCACTTTAGTATATACTAACCTTGTCTTTACTAAACCAGACAGGATTTATTTCTAGGCTCTTGTAATTACTGTCATCCTAGCCTGAAGCTGAAGTTCTCAAAAGCTGACCCGAGGCTCAAAATTCTCAAGCCAATCTGGGACTAAAGTAATCAAGCTGGTCTGGGACTGAAAATTCCTAAAAACCCTCTCATCTGAAGACCCTCCCTGGTAATCAAGATCTAAAAAGAAGATGCACCCAAAAAATGGACTTCCTCGTTCTAAGAATTATGACTGTTTATACCTAAACAAAACAGACGCCATGTTTTATGATTATTATTCCTATACTTTGAATGCCTTACCTTTTAGAGCAAAATGTTTCACTTATTTCCCCTCACCCATCCCACTGCTGTAAAACTCCTTCTATAATAAATACGCATGACTTCTGGCCATCAGGGCTGCAGTCTGGAGTTTACTCTGGCTGTAGCCGGCTAAGAACATGCTAAGGGCATGAGGTCTTAGTCTGATTCCTGTTCACCCGCGTCGCCTCCCTGTGCACCCACCCCGGCTGGGGGTATGGCTCTCGGCACCAATGTATAGAATAATTTCATATTATGTTAGGTGATGAGAATATCAATAGGCCCGGATAATCAACAGGTTAGATAGCTGGCAAAATTCTTCAGGATTTTTTTCTTTTTATTATTGTATTGATTTTTGCTAAATGGCACGTGTGCTCGCTGGAGATACAAAGAAAGGCAGACAGCAAGAAATTACCTCCCAGGGAGGAGAATGGTCATGCTACAATCCCTTCTCTTCCATTCTCCTCTTGGGATTTTGGGCACGCATGAACATGTGACAGCGTGAGTTTCAAGCTACCAGGTCCGGGACTCAAACCATGGTATACCACATGGGAGTCTAGTGCCTTAACTACTATGCCGTCTGCTGACCCCCAAAACTCTTTAATTTAAGGGAATCACAGAAAGTTATTACTTGGAGAGACTTTAGTGGTAATCTATGTTAGTAGTTCCAACCCTGACTACACATCTTCCTAGGAACATGCAGACACGTGTTGTAAGCTATTGTAGAAACTGTATGGTAAGTTCTATTAACTTTACATACACACTCACACACATCCATTTAGCGTCACTACAACACTATAGAAGAAATAATTCACACAGAGGTTAGATAACTTGCTGAAGGTCATATAACCAAGACTGGCTCTGAATAAATACTGAAACACAGGCCTCTCAACTTCTAGATCAAACAGTGTCATTTTCATTAATTCTCATTTTTTAAATGCTTATCTCACTGGCCAGTTCCACAAGGACCACCTAGGAGGTATGCATCATTATCTCAGTTTTAAAGAAGTAGACAAATTGGTGACAGAGCCAGCACAGGAACCTTTCAACCTCCAAAGCTCTGATTATAATGGCCATTCCTCTATTTTACTGTTTTAATGCAAAATGCATTCCTCTGTCACATATATTTCAACCTTTAACTGACTTAAAAACTCCACACAAGCTCATTTTGATTTACAACAATAATTTTCTTATTAAGAATTTTCTGGGGGCCAGCAGGTGGCGTGGTGGTTAAGAGCGCTGGACTCCCACATGGCCAATCACAGTTCAAGTCCTATACCTGGCAGCTTGCTTTCTCACTTTCTCTCTTTCTCCTTCTCTCTCTCTCTGTCCCTCTCGGGGCAAATTAAAATAAAATCAATATTAAGTTAAATAGACTAATTCTTCTTAAAAAAGAATTGTCTGTTGAAAGTCTATTTTAAGCAAAATAACTACATAGACTACCAAAGAATAATTCTGAGGGCACAAGTCCATGGTTGGTATGATTAGTGCTTGAATTGGGAGCCAGGATTTATCCAGGAATATTAGTTTTGTGAAACTCTGATTATAGTAATAAATAGCTAATTTTACTCAAATCAATGTTTCCTACATTTAAAAGAAGAAAATTAACATCTCAGCCAAGAAAAACCCACCCTACATTCTAACACTCAGTTACTACCTCTAACCTTTGTTTCGCTTATGAAAGCCAGTAAATCATGACAAATTCAGTCTGAAAAAATTATATTTAGAAAGGCGAATACTTTAAGAAAGTTAACTTGTAAGGTAATATTTTTCTGAGAACATACACTTACTTCTGCTTTTTTACGAGCTTCCATAGCTTTCATAAGCATCATGTGTTGTCGCCTTCGCTCTCGTTCCTATTAAGCCAGATAAAATCAGGAAAATTACTCAACTACAGTTAACAGGCCGATTTCCAGATGGAAAAACAAAAACCAAAAATAACGAAAAAACTCAGTATAGCATGTTTAGCATTTATAGACACATCACAGTAAATACTAAATATAAGACAAGAATGGCCAGTCTGTGCATGTTTTAGTTCAGGTTTAGAAAGCAAATACAAGAACAATCAAAAGCAAAAAGGTAAAGCAATGAACATGGAGACAGTGTAAACAGAAGCATACAAGATTTACTTATGGTCAGTTGTGATGCTCCTTCAAAAGCTGGCAGAACAAAAAGCATAATGGTTGGCTGGAACAGGTCAGTTACCTTACATCTGCTATTAGAAAAACCACAAATACTATAGCCAATTCAACTAAGGGGGGTGTTCTTAAATTTTTAGATCAGGCAGAAATTGATTTTTAATCACTTTCGCTTCATGGTTTTAGAATTGGTTCCTTTATTTCAAGTACAAAATCATTTTGTAGTCCAATGAGCCCCAACAAGTTTTTTTTTTTAAACTTTTATATCAATTTAGTTAAAGTAGTCTTGGTTCATATACAAATACAAATGAAATGGGATGTTCCTGTTTACTGATGTCTGCCACTTGATGCACTACTTAAAGGCACAAAATTTGTACCATGGACGAATAAATGGAAAAACTAAATGCACAGCATGAAAATAGGGTAAGCACTAGCTTACTCTGATCATCTCATTTTATTTTATAATAAAAAATCACATATTTATAATATCTCATCAATTTTTACAATATATTAGGTTCGTGAAAAAAGGATATTTCTAAAATTGTTTCTAAAATTTGTCTATGAAAACCAGAATATATTTCATATTCTCTCATCAAGCAAATTCAAAATTCCCATTGTACTCAATGGCAGTTTTACATCTAGAATGATGGGAGAATATGGGTCACAAATTTATTTCATTGTATAGTGATCCAACTTTCCCTGTGACATCAGTAACGTAAGTTTTTAGACAGCAGCCTTATTTAGGGCTTGCAAAATTCCGTGAAAAATCTTGGAGCTGTATCATACTTATTTATAGACAGACAAGCAGATGTATGCAATGCACTGTGCTGTAAAGCCATGCAGCAGTATGTAATATGACAGCAGCCAGTGCTACACTTTATGCATTGCTATGACAACCATATCACAACCAAATCACAATGCGGTGTTAGATGTACAAAAATAAACATACCCATACCATATCTAGTCTATGCCTCTCCAACTCCTGGTAGAAAGAGTTGGCACAACATTATGAAACAGAAATCACAGAGTCATAAAACCAAATTTAACCCCCCAAAAGACACCAATACCAAAGCAAGGCAATCAACTGTAAGATGAAAGAAAAAATTTAAGCAGGAATTACATGGGCAATTTTAAAGGAAATATTTTGAAGATTTTCCCCCAAATTGGCTTAAGCAAAATTATAAAATGAGCATTTTAATAGTTATACGACTGTATGTATACAGACCTGATGCTTCAGAAGAACAGCTTGTTGTCTTCTCATTTCTTTTTCCTTAAAAATAAGAAACTTTTAATACACAATTTTCAGAGAAGATTTAAAACATGCTAAAAAGTACTAAAATTTTTTTCTGATATTCTGTGGTCTTGTATCAGGTTGAACCATATGAAATTGCCAATATTCAATAATTTTTTACTTATAATATGGCAATTCACTTTCATATGATTCTATCTAATACTTACATAAAAACAGGATGATACAGTAGCAAGACATTTCTTACGTGGCCATTTCAGCCTCAAATTCAATGACCTAACAGCACATTTCAAAGAAATGACTAGCTAGATGGTCAAAGCATAGTAGATACAACTTGCACATGTATTTAAAAAAAAATGTTTTAATACATTATGGTGCAACCCTCAAATCTAGCTGGACAGAACTCTCTCCACTGTGAATATAAACTCCCAAATATATTCTATAATTAAGAGCAGGTAATTTATTTCTATACACTATACATAAATGAAAGTGGCAAAGACTATGTGATCAGCTTGAGATTTTTTTCATGCCCATGTATTGATTCAAGTTATCATTCCAATGGAATAGGGCTTAAAACAAACAATTCTACAAATGTCACCAACTTTAATATTTTTAAGGTAAAAATCTGGATGAAATTAGTATTATTGGTGACTATGAAACGGGGCAGAAATGTAAAAAATTAAGAGTCTGTGCATTTCTAAATAGCTCCCTGGTTTTGCAAGGCATTACTGTGGTGGCTATTTCTAGCAACAACAGGTTCACTGAGTTGCCTCCTTTCAGTATTCGGTTACCAGATGTAGAATGAAAGTGGTGAGTGGGAGAGAGGTCAGCTTTCTTATGCTTCATACTAGAAAGTCAAAACATCCCCAAGTACTTAACAAGTTATAAAATTGACAATGGCTCATTTTATTAATGGTTAGTGACAGTTAATAAAGTCAAGTTTTTGTTTCTGTAGGTGTTACATTTTTTTCTATTTTTAATTTTTGCCAGAGAGCATGTGTGCTGCCAGAGAGAGACAGAGAAAGGGAAAGTGAGAAAGCACTCTCTCCTCCATCTGTCCCTCTGTTCGGAATTTTGAGCAGGCACACATTCACCTTGTATGTTTTTCAGGCTATTGGGTCTGGGCTCGAATCAGGTAGTCGACCATGTGGGATCCAGCTGTCTAAAACTCCACACGACCGGCTGGCCCAGCTTTTCATTTTTAATAAATAATTCAATCGCTGGACATTAACAAAGAGAAAGTGAAGAATCAGATGTGGGACACATTTTGAAATACATACATGTATGACACACAAAGTAGTTTTAGGGGGATCAATCTTATCCAGTGAAGAGATATACAGGTATTATGTAATTATCTATATCTCTCATTTGACATCTTCTAATTAAAGAGTTCAAAGTATCACATAAAACCTGTATAATAAAATAAAACATATACATACAACATATATACAAAAAAGGCACACATTATACACATGTTGTATCTGCTGAACATATTTTCTAGATAGTCATTTTGAGGAAAGCCATTTTTTTCATATAATTGATGCTGGTAGAATGTAGTTTTTATTTTTGAAAAATAAAAACTTTGATTCTCATCTAAACTAACCTTTATTCGTTTCTCGGCCTCCAATAATTTGGCATTTGCCGCTTCTTCCTTCTTTTTCTTTTTAGCCTGTGCATGCAAAACAGGTCTCAAAGTCATGCAACAGCACCACTACAACTTGCAAATCATCTCAGACTTGAACTGAAGCACATGCCTCACAAGGTACAAAACAATATGTAACACGAAGTAGACAATTACAGATTACCCGCGGTTAACCTTATATTTACTTTTCTGATTTTATTTCTAATTTATAGGTTAAGATATAAAAAAGTAATAAGTTCTTAAAAATATGACAGCTTTTATCTTGAAACTGTTAAAAGTCTGAAATAAATTGACTGTTGATGTTACTTTACCTAAAAACTTACTAAAAAAATGATTTTATGTCACTTACTGTTTTTCTGGCTTTAAAAGTAAAACAATCACGATAAAATTTTTAGCAAACAGGACAGATTTTAATAAAAATTGTTTCAAGAATAAATCAGTAACATTTAAAAATGCATGTCTATTTTATTTGAGATTTCTTTTTAATATTCAAATTTAATATAAGGAAATCCATTATTTTGTTATATCCATTAATTGAAACATTTTAAAAATTTTAATTAATTTTAATTTTTACATTTTGACATGTATTCACTGGAGAGAGAGAGTGAGAGTGAGAGACGGAAAGTGAGAATGCATTCCCCATAGGGCATAATCATGCCACACCCCTTCTACTTCATCTCTCCCACCTTTTCAGGTTTTGGGCCCGCACACATATGCACTTGGCATATTTCTCAAGATGCCAAGTCCAGGCCTTGAACCATGTAGTCAGTCATGTGGAATTCAACACCCTAACCATCAAGGTATAGACTGGCCCAAATAAACATACTAAATTATATTTTTCCTATTCCTGAATATTGTGTCCAAATGTTTCTTTTTAAAAACAAAACAGAAACTTGTAATCCTCCACAAAGCACATTTATTTATTTTTTTAAGTGAGATTTTTACTATAGGTCATGTGCATTTGCCAGAAAGACAGAGAGACAAGACAGAAAGTGATAAATCACCCCCCAGGGGGTTGGCCACACCATAATCTCTTCTGTCTCTCCTCTTGGGATTTTGAGCATGCATGCACACGTGTCCAGCATGAGTTCCAAGTCACTGGGCCTGGGACTGAAACTGTAGTGGACTACATGGGAGTTCAGCGACATAACCATTATGCCATCTCTGGTCCCAAAGCACATTTTGACTATCAAGAGTATGTTATCAAATGTGAGCTTCACAATATAAAATCATTAATTATGTAATAGTTTTATAACTATTACTTATTGTCAACTTAAAATAGAAAATAATTATTAAGGGATTTTAAAATTAATTTGATATGGGAAAGGGAATATGTGTGTATTTCTAGAAGGAAAACAAAATAGTAACATAGTGAATCTTGGCCACTTGGAGCCCTCAGGGAATAAACTATTACAAAGCAGCAGCTTCTTGACTAGCTGAGAGGTTATAATAATTTTAAATGTTAAAAGTTTATTTTCACTATTTTGGACAGGAGTAATTTTGACATATACGGCTGCTTAGACACAGTACACAGTATACTAAACAGAATTTGGCTTTTTCTTGATGACTCAGAAAATTATTTGAATATAAGTTGTTACGCTGCACAGTTCGATGGAGTAATGTCTTTGGACTATTAAAATGTTGAAAATTGCTTGCTATTCAATTGCAAGATTACAGACTGTTGCAAGGTTTTTTTGTTTCTGGAGTTTTTTTGCTATAGGACGCGTACGCTTGCCAGAAAAACAGAGAGAGAGAAAGACAGAAAGCGAGAATTCACCCCCCATGGGGGATGGCCACGCCACAATCCCTTCTCCTCCATTCTCTTGGGATCTTGGGCACGCACACACACACGCCTGGTGTGAGTTTAAGCCACAGCGTCCGGGACTCGAACCGCGGTTAACTACATGGGAGTTCAGCAACATAGCCATTACGCTAACTGGTGGTCCCTAGACTGTTGCAAGGCTTTTGAGTTGGGTTTCTGAATATGTGAGTTGGAGTTTTTCTGAATTTTCCTTTGCTGTGTTTTGGCTCTAACTTTTGCTGTTGCCAATACACATCTATCCTCTATTTCAATTCTGGTCACTTTGTAGGGAAGAGGGATACACTAGAAATCAGAAAAACAAACTAATAAAACTGTTTCTACTTTTAAAATGTACTTTTACTTCCACAATGTTTATTTTTATAAACATTTGTTTCTACATTGAAAGTAAATATCTGATAAGAAGCCCTAAGGGTTTTTCTGAAACTAAACTACATAAGTTTCAGCACACAAACTTTTTTTTAAATGCTTTTGCCATAGAGCATGTGTGCTCATTAGACAGAGACAAAAAGAAATAGAAAGAGAGAAAGTGAGAAATCACTTCCTGGGGGGATGGCCACACCACAATCCCTTCTCCCTTCTTCTCTAAGGATTTTGGTTATTCACGAACACATGCCAGGTGTGATTTTTCAAGCTTTCAGAACCAGGACTTGAACCGTGGTTGGCCATCTGGAAATCCAGTGCTTTAACCACCATGTCACCAGTTGGCCCCCAGCACATGAACTTTATGAGCAACTACACTGGCTGCTCAAATATTTTCCTTGTTCTTTTGTCTTATTTCTCAGGATTTGAGGAGAATTCCTGAATGCATATTAACTGCATGAGTAAGACAACATGTAGGCAAATTTTTTATTTCTCGAGACTTTAAAATACTAGCTATATTATTTTAATATTAAATTTGAGAATTCTACCTCTAGAATTTGCTGGGCTCGAAGTTCTTTTTCCATTCTGATTTGCTGTATTCTCTTAATTTTTTCCTGTAGAAAAATTTTGATAATTTAGGATAATAAAATAAGCATCAAAATTTAAAAAAGTATTTAAGTGGAATCAAACAATGTAAAATATAAGCACAAACTTACTAAAGTTTGTACATGTTGGATATAAAAATTTAATTATTTAATATAACATATGCCCATGCCTTGAATATAATTTTATAAAATTTTCAGTATAATTTATAAAATACAAATACTAAATGTATATATAAATATCAGGTAAATCAAGCTGATTAAACTCATATGAGGCAATTACAAATAATACTTTATTTGAAATAAACAGAAGACGGAATAGTTAAAAAAGAACATAACAGGAGTCAGAAAACATAAAGCTAATTCTGGGTTACTGTCATTTATTGAATCTTGAGTAAGTAATAACTATTCATCTATAAAATAGAGAAAGCTCCTTGCCCTTTCTCACTTTGTCATAATAAATAATAAAAGTTTTTAAAAGTACATAGTAATACAACTACAACAGATTATTATTCATAGTAATATCCATTCTAAACTTTATTTCACATGATGAGTAACACGATGCAATGAAAGTCTATTTCAGAAATATTCTGTAACATTATTTTAAAATGGATTAATCATAATATTCTACAGAATTATTTACATGACATAATTGGTGTACACATAGTCTATATTTAATGTACTAGTTATTAGTTATGTTTTATAATACTGTGACCACCTAAATTTTGATAAGAATTTACATTTTGATTTAAAAAGTTATCTCAATGCTATAAGCACAATATTAGCAATTTCATATTCATAAATTCTTTTGTAAGTTCTAAACTGGCAATGATAAAAATAGTTTTCACAAACCACCTGAAGTTTCTTACTTGTCCCAGAATTTCCAAAATCAATACATATTGTATGCTATATTTTACAATACTCCAATTTCCAGTCTCGTTTTGCCTTTTGAAGCTATATATATATATATTTAAAGTTTACGTACTTATTTATTTAATGTGAGAGAGACAGATAAAGTTAAGCATGATCAGCAGGGTCTCGTGCTGCACCTCTCCAGTCTTCCCAGTCAGTTAGGATCACTGGCATGCGCGCGTATGCCCAGCATATCCTGGTCTATCTAGGGAGTGAACCCCGACCTTCCATATCACTTTCCCAAGGCTGAGTGGTGTGTTACCACTGTGCTACAGTGGCTGGGCCTGAAACTGTACTTTGAAACATACTTTAACTTATTTTTCTGTATTCTGATTTTACTCATGCCCTTTAGGGGTCTACTGCTGGATAATGATATTTCTCAGCAATTATTGTCCCAATTTCTGAGAACTGATCATATCCTATGATTTTGCTGCTGGTGATCCTATCTTGGTACTGGACATTAATTATAGCTTGCCAAAAATAAAAATTCAAATGTATCTTTTCTGTCACTTCCTAATCTTAGAGAAAACTGTATTTGAACCACATCTGAAGTACTTAAGTTAGAACTTGAGATCTAAGAAAAATATACCCCTAATCTAATTTTTCTGCTCTTTCCAATCTTAAGATTATAAGGTAGTGTATTCTCAAGTCAGCAAAAGCCATTCACTGTTCTCTTATGCACAAAGACACTCAGGAAATCTTGAGTATAAGTACACTCAGTCTGAAGCTTTATCTAACTGTCTAGGACATATGTGTGTATATATATAAATACATACATGTATATAATATGCACATATATATATTTATATACACACAGATGTGTGTATGTATATACATAGTATATATCTATATATAGATCAGCTTGGTAGTAGTATCATTAGCATGGAGATAAATATTGTTTATTAATTAGTATAATACATTGGGCCACTGGAAAAGTCATTACTTATTTTTGCATAGGAAAACAGAAAAATGTGTCATGACTTTTCCAATAACTCAATATAATATTATTTGAGTACCCAACCACTGAGCTGGACACTTTAGATAAAATATCTTATTGATCATTAAAAAAATTGCTGAGGTTGAAATGATCTTTTTTTTACATAAAAGAGAAATGAGATTCCCAGAGAGTAAAAATTTTGCCTAAAGTTCAATAGTACCTTCATAACCCTGGTCAGGTTCCGGTGCCTATGCTCCTCCTGCCTGATAATAATGCTTCTGTAACTTTCCAGAAAATGGCCTTAAAGATTACCTGCTGATATTTTAGGCCTCCTCTATGGAAAAAATAATATATAGGATGAACAACACATGCTACTATTTTATTCCAGATTTAATGCTAACTTTTAAATAAGTGTTATGTAGCACCTGCGTTGAGTAGAACTAGTCTATACTTTGATTCACTTTGTTAGCAATAAGAAATAAGTCAAATGATATTTTGAGATTAACCCCAGATTAAAGTCTTAATAAATATCTTAGACCAGTTTATTTGCATCAATGTTGTTAGAGCTCAGTGTTGTTTTCAAAGGGCAGCAAAATCAATATAGATTTAGCCACTTTAAAATTTTTAGATCAAAAAGTTGAATTTAAAGGATTGATGGGATCTAAGGGATCTGTAGCCACTAGGAAACAGGATAAACTATAAAAAAGTATAAGAATATTTCACTAAAAAGTAAGATATAAATTGTAAATTTCTTTTTACATATATACTATTCAGTAAATATTTATAATATTCTAACAAATGCATTCACTAGCCTATCTATCTTAAGTGAACTTTACCATGTCTAGCAGTCACAATTAACATACTAAAGATGGAATTTAAGCTTACAACTGACTAAGTTTTAGTAAGGGTACCTTATACGGTTTGGTGACTTTTTTTTTTTTTGGGAGAGGTTTTTGCTATAGGGCACGTGTGCTCGCCAGGCAGAGACATAGAGACAGAAAGCGAGACATCACCCCCCGGGGGGATGGCCATGCCGCAATCCCTTCTCCTCTGTTCTCCTCTTGGGATTTTGGGCACACACGCACACGTGTCCGGTGTGAGTTTTAAGCCACCGGATCTGGGACTCAAACCGCGGTCAACTACATGGGAGTCCAGCGACATAGCCATTACACTAACTGCTGGTCCCATACAGTTGGGTGATTTTTATCTCTCTATAAAAAACTGAGAATTTGCTTTGTGCTGGACACCTTACATTCAGTATCTTCAGATATTATAGTTTTCTTCTCTTAGAATAGAGGAAATAGAGACTTACAGGATAAGTAATTCATCAAAGCACACAAAATTATTAAGTAGCAGAGCCATATTTAACTCTAGGCTGCTGGACTATAAACTCTGAACACTAAATCCAAGCTCTATCAATTCTTTCTAGTGTTGCTGCTTTAGTTAATACTGGAGGGACCTTTGGTGATAATCACATCAAATTAACCTCATTTATTTAGCAGCTATCTATACAGTAAAAATTTTATTGTACTAGTACTCAGAAATAACTATTTGATGTTTAAATTTTTAAAAGAATTATTTTATTTTATTTTATTTATCAACACTATTTTTTTTTAATTTGCTACAGGGCACATGTTCTCACCAGAGAGAGAGAGAGAGAGAGAGAGAGAGAAGGCAGGAGAGCAAGCTGCCAGGTCCAGGACTCGAACTGCAGTCTGCCATGTAGGAGTCAAGTGCCTTAAACACCACACCACCTCCTGGCCCCCAATGTTAAAAATTTTAAAGACTAGAATTCCCCTATATCTTTTCCTTTCTCCTTTAATGTATAGGAGTACATGGAGATGGAAGAGTACTTTATACATCCCATATTAAAGCCTTCTCACTTAATGTTTTACCTATAAGAATTTAAAAGTTAGAGCTAACTTGGTGACACAGTGGTGAAGTGTTGCTACTCAAGCAAAGCTGGATCCATAGAGAAGCTTATAGGTTTGGTTCCCCAGTTGACTTATGTCAGACATGTGTGGTCATGATCCTGGCTGGTTAGGAAGGTTGGGCAGTGGGTGGGGAGGCAATAAGGCATGGGATCTTTAGAAGGTGCTTGTCTTTCTACTCCTCACTCTCACAAGAAAAAAAAAAAAAAAAAGAATTGAAAACTTCTATTAAAACTTAATTTTGAATACTACATATAGGAGAGATATTACAAATCAAAGAAAGAACTCTGGATCAAAGTTAAAGTCATGGTTCTCAACATTGTTTTGCAGTAGTGATTTTTAAATAGCTCTAAAAGCATTCAAAAGCAAGTAGCACAAAATTTATTTAATATAATTTCACTTTAAGTTTTCACTAATATTCCATCTATTTTAGAACACCAAACTTTTATATTAAAAAATGTGGACATTTAAGTAATATCCTTCATTTACAGATCCATTAATTTTAAAAGTCTGAAAATTATTCAGCATGTCAACTTATACTCAAAGTCTGCCACGATTTTAAAAGTACTGATATAAGTCTATAGTTTAGGAATCATTTCTTAAAATACGTGGAAGTAGAAGATGTGATTAAGAAATAAAGTGAAATTTTTAATAAATGGCAAATGACAGATGTATAATATTAATGGAAATAGAGTTATTTAAGAAATCAAGATGAAAATAATGCACACAAATAGATTCACAAAATAAGGACTATGTTGTAAAAATTTGATTCTAATTCATAAACCTACCTGTTGTTTCATAATCTTTATCTGTTCTTTTTGCTTTCGCTTCTCTTCAGCAGCCATTATTGCTATGATGAGAAACCAAAGCATAGATATCATCAGAAAAGGAATGAGAAAGCATCTTGTGAGTTACCCAGTCCTTACTCTTCACACTTACATCCTCATTTAAGTCACCCACCTTGTTGTTTTTTTGCTTCTTTGGCAACGCGGGCCTGTTCCTGCTTTTGAAGTTTCCTCAAAAGCTTTATTTGTGCTGCTTGCCTGGCTATTTCTGAAAAACACAAAATTTCAAAAAATATTTTTAACAACTTTATAAAACATTTCGAGTAAAACCCTCTTAGTAGGAAAGTAGTTGCTAATATGTAAAAAATAGCAATTTTGCTTCAGTCTTAAAATTTTAAAAATATATAAAAAAGAGAAACCCCAAAGTAAAGCAAAGTTTCCATTTCATACGCTTAGTATTTCAATTAGTTATGCTAATGGTTAAGTTCCTAAATCCAGTGATATTTTCATTTATGAAGGAAAGGGACTAAATCTCCTAAATAAAAAGAATTGAGAGCGTTAATCAGTTTTTAAGGACAACCTAGTTTTTATACTTTCAAGGACAAATGTATAAAAGTGGAGTAGATGGGGACCAGTGGCTGACGTAATGGCTATGTCCCTGGACTCCCACATTGATGTGTATTTATGTGTGTGAATGTCTCAATCAATTTCAAGCCCCTCACAGTATTTTTTATTTTCAAGTCCTTTAAAACAGAAAAACATTAAAAAGAACAACTCATATATTTTTACTTTAGCAAGTAACCATCAAAATTTTATATAACTTCAATTTTATATTATGAGCTGTGAAAAACATTAAAGATATTATAAAGGAAAAAAATGAGTTAGAGACCTAGAAAAGTTCACTCAGGCTCTGAGGAATAAACTATTCCCAGTATCTTCTCACTTATTTTGTTTATGGCTGCTGACTATGTTATGTCATAAGTAAATTGTGAAATACTAATTTGAGGGGCCAGCAGATGGTGTACTGGTTATTTTGCTGTACTCCCATGTAGTCTACTGTGGTTCAAGTCCCTGACCTGGCAGCTTGAAACTCATGCTGAGAGCATGTGTGTGGATGCCTAAAATCCCCAGAGGAGATTGGAGAAGAGACTGCAGCATGGCTATCCCCCTTGGGGAGTGACTTCTCACTTTCTGTTTCTCTGTGGTAAGTGTATGCACCCTATAGCAAAAATCTCTCCCTCTCTCTCTAAAAAAAAAAAAAAAAAAAAGAGAGATACAATTTTAAATTCTCTCTCTCTAAAAAAAAAAAAAAAAAAGAGTGATACTAATTTGAATAATATCCTTTTTCTGGTAAGAAAAATTTGTCTTAATTCCAAAGACAAAATTTTATTTTTGAAATAAAGTTTATTTTCATGTAGAATTAGGTATATTTTGGGCATAACTCCTTTCTCCAATTATAAGAGGCATATGTAAATGTTTTAACATCTCTAAAATCAGAATGTATGTTGACAACTGGCAACATTTTTCTTTCTTAATGGTGCATCTTAAAATAATGGTACACTGTGCAGGCAAAACAGACGCTCAGATTATGTGACATTTGAATGCTATTTGACAATATGGAAAATTAGACATGACCAATTTTTGTGAATGAACAAATTCAAACCTTTTCAAATTTTAATCTGTATTCTCTGAGAAATTAGAGCTATCATTTCATGTATGGATATAAATTCAAAATGCACACTTATCTCATTGGTCTGAACCTTTTTTCAAATTAAGTCCAGTTTTTCAGTCTAGCTGACTCCTATTAGGATGATAATATATAATAGAAGCTCCTAAAATCCTCTGAGATAAATCCTAAACTGTTCATTTTTTAGAAAGATTAATATAAGGGATGGTAAAGTGATATTTTCTCACCTTCTTCTCTTTCCCAGGAAAAACATAAAAATTATACCTCATGTACTTGTAAATACTGATAATTATTATTTATTTACTGTAAAATATTTAGTATTTATGCACATTTTGAGAAAATAAACACTCATACATGGACGATATCAAAACTTGCAAATACAACCCAATACAAGGGAGAGTTATGTGATAGACTACAAATCAATTTGAAATCCAGAGAAAGAAAAAAATTGGATGAAAGTTAAATAATGAACTTACAGTGTTACAATAACATACAGTTATTTTTTCAAATTTAAATTTGCCATTTTGATTATGTTCATTGAAATAAGTAAGGCCCAGAAAGAGAAACAGTGCATGTTCGAATTCACATATGAAAATGGAAAAGCGGCCTCATAGATGCAGAGAGCTGCAGAAAGATTACTAGGGTTAGGGAAGGACAGGGAGGGAATGCACAGAAACGATATTAATAGAAAAAATCAGATAGATAAAGGGAACAATTTCTAAAGTTATAAAGTACAGTAAGTGACTATCATTAATAATTTACTGTTTATCTCAGAGTAACTATGAGGATTTTGAATGTTCCCAACACACAATATTGACAAATGGTTGAGACAATGGATATACTAATTATCCTGATCTAATTATTACATTGTACTCAGACTGAAAAATCACATTGTATCTTCCAACTATGCACAATTAATATTGTAATTTTAAAATACTGAAAAAATTATAATTTCAGATACTAATAAAATGCTTGTATTAGATATGTAAAAATATCCATTAAAAAGTCCATGTCTTAGGTATCAGTTAATGTCAAGTTCTATTTTATGAGATAATGTATATATTCCTCACCTTTATACATTTTTCATAAGAGTTAATAGCTTATTGATAATATGAAACAATATAAAAAAATTAGCTAAGATACTGACATAAAAAAGCTTAAGTAATATTAAGTTACATGGTAGGCAATGAGTTTAAAGGCCATTGTTCAAAGTATGTATCTGGACAATCTTTTTAGAAACAATATTTATCTGCTCTCTATTAAAATTGAAAATGACATATTTGTAACATAAATTTAGATATGCGTAATAAATATTTACTGCCAACTTTGTGATAGCAAACTCACAAAAGTAAGTTAAACAGAAATAAAAAAGAGAATGGGTAAATGAGGTATGGTAGAGTCAGATGTTGTATCACATAGTATTCAGCTGTAAAAAGCCATAAAAGAATAAGCATGGGGACCAGCAGGTGGTGGGGTGGTTGAGGCACTGGACACTCTCACATTGTTGAACATGGTTCAAGTCCCAGACCCAGTGGCTTACTTTCTCACTTTCCCTCTCTGTCCCCCTCTCTTTGTCTCTCTCTGGTCCAATTAAAAAAAATGAATGAATAAATAAATAAAATTAAACAAATAATTCTTTAAAATAGAATATAGATGGTTTATAAGAGCTTATATAGAATATTATTCAAGATAAATAGTGGAAAAAAGAGCAAGTTGATGGTGGGCCCAGCAGCACAGTGGTTAAATGCTGTGTCAGATCCCACAAGGCCAACTGCAGTCTGAATCATGGCCCCGGTAGCTGGAGAAACACACCAGGCATATGTATATGCTTGCCTAGAATGCCAATGGGATAGAGAATAGAGGCAAAAGAATTGTGGTATGACCATGCCCTATAGGAGAGTGTTGTGTTTTTATGTGTAATGTGTGTCTTTGGATACATTTTTCTAAAATGCTCAACAAAAACTTGTTAATGATTGCACTAGGGGTAAGAAAGTCTTTTATTTTAAAGCATTCTGTTCTGTGAGCTTTAGACATGGGTATTTATTTGTATTATAACAAAAACAAGGTAGCAATAGTTATGACGGTGTTTATAATAAATACAAATATATCTTTTAGGCATTTCCTCCAAATTTTGGTGCTTATAGTGTTAGAAAAAAAAAAAAACCCTTGAGAAGAAATAAAATTCTGTTAGCCTTTTAAGTCAATTATCTCTGTTTTACAGTTATACCTTTTTAAAAATGATTATTTATTGCTTTTGTGAGAGTGAAAGACAGAGAGAAACTGAGCAAGACAAGCACCCCAACAGGATCTAATGCTAGGATCTTCCTCCAGATTTCCCAGCCAGCCAGGATCATGGCATCCATGACCAGCAGGTAAAGACTGACTGGAGAACTGAACCTGTGATGGCCAACATGGCTCCAGCATTGCTTGAGTGAGTGGTCTATTACGACTGCACCACTGAACCAAGTTGTGTTGTTATATATTTTTACACATATGCTTTCAAATGTAAGGCATCTACACATATATTTTTATATTGAGACTGGCTGAAAATGCTTCATATTTATAACTAGCAACAAACAGCAGATCTTCAGCCTTCTCTGGGGCATATATAGCATTGGGACCTTCATGTTGACCACATATAACATAAAATCATAAATACATTTAAGGTTATTATGAGCAACTGAGCTTGATAAATGATGCCTTTAGGTGATCTTAAAATACTTTTCGACTAAAAGCTATTAGTTGGGCATTTGGAAAAAATACATATGCTATATTCAGAGTACTGGAGAACCCAAACTAAAAGACTGGGGTTACTTACCAGTAATTGGAGTTCTCTGAAAATTTACTCCACAGATCCACATATTTTGGAGTTATTCCCATGTACCACCTCAAGGAATCGGGAGCTGTTAAAATGAGAATTTCCAGAAGGTTGGCACAACCTTAAGGTATGTGCCAAGTGCTGGTTGATTCCCTTTCTGTGTAAGCCATAAAAGCTTAACACCCACCTTTGCAATTCTAAACACACAGCCTAGGATGTGTTTATGAGTATGTTTCTTGAAAAAATGATTAATCAAAGAACTCCAGTTACCAGTGGGACTCCTTACTTTTTCATTTTATTCATCACAAACACCTACTTTTTTTGGAAATTGAAAGCATCACTAATCATTCCTAAGTCAAAAACGTAAGAAATACTTTTAGTATCCTTTTGAGTATGATTTTAAAGTATCACATACATTATATTTCTTACCTTGAGCCTGTAGCTTTCTTAGCAGTTTGGCATCTGTGTTATCGAGGAATTCAGCATTGCCAACATTTGGAGGGCGACCCTTCCGACGTCTCATCCTCGATTCTTCTCTTGCTCGCTGTCGGTCTGGATTGGGTGGTCTTCCTCTACGACCTTCCATTGCCCTGATACGAGGAATGACATCCTCTTCTTTCAAAAGACACCACTGCATTCCCTTTTAATTAACATTTTATAGAAAGAACATATTACAAACAACAACAACAAAACAAGAGATCGGTATGTCAGAAAATTTTAGGGAAAATCACAGATATTTTGAAGTTTATAAAGGTAGCATAAATTCTAGGAGTTTTATTTTTTAAATTAAATTCAGATTACCAATTTTTAATATCCTTTGGCATATCTTTAGTATTATTTCTCTAATGACTTATTCTTTAATTAATATATATTTTTATATAGAGAGAGAAAAAGAGAGAAAATGGTATCTGTATGTATAATCATACAGAGCTATGTATCTTAATCACTTTCCTGAACTATAATGACTATAAAGTTGGCTGATATTTGTAATTAGTTGTGTGTTGACCCTCCATCTCCCAGTAATTGTTTTTGTGGGTTATCGGTTCAACCAAAAACAATAGGCCTTTAAGTGAACAGATCAAAATTTCTCTATAGGAACGTTAAAGCTACTAAATGAAAACAGGAAGTTAAGAGTTAAAATATCAGCATTCTGTAATACCTAATGAATTAACAGATCTAAACACTGAACTAGAATGGCAGTTTATCATCAAAAAGAGTCACAACTGTACAGACTTTAGCCTCCCAATGGAGGCTCCATCCCCTGTAACTTAATCTTGCTCACCCCCAAAAATCAACCTGGATTTGATCAAATCTCTAGATTTAATTACCATAACTTTAAAGACAGAGTGAGATGTATGTGTTAGACTACACAGCAAAATATCCATACTGTAGGAAGTTCTACAGCTGACTTAAGTTGCTTCAGTAAATAAATTGCAAAAAAAAAAGCTATAGAAAGATTAAATGGAGCTTTAAAAGAACCGTCGAACAATCTCAATTTGTAGACTTTACTTGATATTGGTTCAGACAAACCATGGGGAAAATTTTAACAATGAACAGAAAACTGCATATATATATTTTTTTTTTTTGAGAGGTTTTTGCTATAGGGTGTGTGCGATCACCAGAAAGACAAACAGAAAGTCAGAAATCACCCCCCAGGGAGGATGGCCACGCCTCAATCCCTTTTCCTTCATTCTCCTCTCGGGATCTTGGACACGCACGCACATGCGCCTGGCATAATAAGTCACCGGATCCAGGACTCAAACTGCGGTAGACTACATGGGAGTTCAGCGACATAGCCATTACACTAACTGCTGGTCCCGACAGACAACTGCATATTTGAACAATAACATATTTGATATCAAAATTTATTATTTTTTAAAGTTTATTTTATTCATGAGCATGAGTGCATGCACATGAGAGAGAAAGGGACACAAACACACACTTCCAACAGGTTCTTGTCATACCACGAACCTCCTCCCCTAGCCCTCAAGCTCAGGAAGATCTTGTGTGCATGCTAACTTGGGATCTGAATCTGCAGATGGTCATGTGGTTTCCAGCACTGCAGTTCAGTACACCACTGCCTGTACCACTGAGGCTAAGTCATGAAATTAATATTTTTCTAAAGATTTATTTTATTTGTTATCATTGTCATTATTAGTATTAGTATTAAATTTGACCAGAGAGTGACACAGAGAGAGAGAAAGGGAAACTGAGAGAGCAAGTCGCCAGGTCCAGGACTCCAACTGTGGTTGGGCATGTCAAAGTCCAGCACACCTCAACCACTGCACTACCTGCTGGCCCTGAAATTACTATTTCTTAATTGTCAGGGAGTACATATCTACCAGAGAGAGTTATGGAGATTGAGAGAGAAAGAGAGCGAGAAAACATCCCCCGAGGGGCATGGTCACACCACAATCGCTTTTTCTCCATCTCTCTACCCCATTGGGATCCTGGGCATACATGCACATGCACCTAGTGTGCTTCTCAAGCTATAAGGATAGGCATTCGAATTATAGTCAGCCATATGGGATCTGGCTCCCCTAACTATTAGACCAAAATGACTGCAATATAGTAATAGTACTGTAGTTATATAGAAAACAAGAGCTCTTATCTTTTAGAGATACAAATGAAAACATTTAAAGAATAAACCAGAAGCCTAAGATTTGATTCCACAAATCTTGGAAGGAGAGAAGCAGATGGCGGTATATGTAAAACAATATTGGCCACAAAGACAATTACTAAAGCTGATGATAGCTACTTAGTGTGTACGGTTCCATTTTTTATATACATTTGTGATTTCTCATTATAAGCTTCTTGATAAAAGAACACACGTCAAAAGCTAGTGTACTATAAAAATAATCCTGCTTAGTGCACAAACAACCTGAATCTGGCTTTCATATATCTTGCATATATTAAACAAAACTAATATATTGCTTTCTATTGCCTTACTTATAGTCCAAAATAATATGCTCAGATATAGGGGAGCTACCTTTTGAAAATAATTGTCTTGTTATTTCTTACTTTTTTAAAGACTTAATTTCATTTAGTGTGAAGATTTTTAAAAATTTATAATGTGATTTTCTTTTAAAATAACCTCAAAATGAGAATTTTACTTGAACCACTAGAAGAAACTTTACAACTCAAACCAATAAAATGTTATTGAGTTACGCTTCATACCATGATTCCTAACCCCAGGCATATGACTATCTCGGTCAATCAATACCAAAAATACAAATACTTTTCCTGCCATCATAATGGATTAAAAAGAACACATAATGTATTCCAAATACTGTGCTTTGTTCCAGGCATTCTGAATACGTTATCTATACACGTTAATCTTCACAACATTTCTATCTGGGTTTTATTGTCCCTACATTACAACTGAGGGAATACAGGCCCATAGAACTTAATAACTTCCCTGGAAAAAAGCAAATGACAGAACTGTGATTCAAATCCAGGAATTTCAGTCTAAAACTGTGCTCTTGACCACCACATGTACTTAACTAATATTACAAAAATATTCCTATATTTGATAAGTGACTGATCACAACATTCAGTGACAAAAGCATAGTCCAAGATTGGGTCAAAGGACTGCGCCAGAAAAAAAAAAAAAAGAATGCTTATTGTCCATACACAGACCTCTGCTAGAAATAACACACATACTACCTCCTTCTGGTCATTCTCATGTTAAAAATAATTTTAAAAATTCTGAGGAAAATAAAATCTTTTTACTGAGATTTCAAATTAAGTGAAAAAGAACAGTAATTGTGTCAAATGTCCTTTAGGCCATAAACCACTAAGAGAGAAGCCATCAGAAGAGTTTTATGTTAGGTTAATTCATGTTCACCAGCCTGGGAAGCATTTGATTAGTTTAGATTTTCATTTTTCTATTACTGTGCTCTTAGGCACCAAGACAGCATGTATCACATAAACTGAAAAATATGAAAGTGACATTACGGTCCTTGGACTAAAAAAGAGAGAGTAATAAAAGAGTCTGTATACAAATCTGCATTCAATTTAAGTATCTTATTAATAACAAAATCCATTTTTGGCCAAGATTTAAAGGGTTTTTATCAACTTATCTTTTCTTATCCAGGTATGTCTTTTATACTAGCTAACTTTTATTCAGTTAAAACAAATATATGTTGGTCAGAAAAAGAAACAGACAATATTTGTATCCAAAGCATACCAGACAAACTGAGTGACATTATTATTTACACTTTGCTCTTGGCATTTAGAAAGTAAATACTTTGTAAGGGGATTGCATATATAAGGTTATAAATATAATATGTCCTTTAGAAAATGAGAAAGGATGATTAGGAAAATCTAAAGCTTATATTACAGTTTTAATTCAAATTCATTGATTAGTCAAAACAACAGTGGACAAGATCAAGTAGTATTTTTCTCAATACAGCTTTTCTCACAAAAAGCCAATATAATTTATATTACTTGATTCCTAAGTTACTAGCTTTTCTGTCAGAATTTCTATCTCAAAAACATTACTTTATTCTAAACTTAAGATAGTAAATGTTTCTTGAAAATAATCTTTCTAAAATAAGATTTAAAAGATACAGGTAAATGGGCCACAGGAGGCGTGGAAGTGAAGGTGGTGGATCCCACATGGCCCACTGTGCAGTTTCAGTCCTGGACTCAGTGGCCTGAAAATCATGTCAGAAGACACCAGGTGCATGTGCGCACATGCCCCAAATCCCAAGAGGAGAAGGGAGACAGGACTGACAAGTGGCCATTCCTCCTGGGGGGTGATTTCTCACTTCCTCTCTCTCTGTCTCTCTGGTGAGTGCATGTGTCCTATAGTAAAAACTTAAGAAAACAGATGATCAATAAAATAGAGTTAGTAAAATATTAAGTTTTCTATATTACTGTAATTCTACTTTTAAGAGTTATGAATTTTTATCTTCAGTGATAACACAATCATTTCTATGAATACCACAGAGAGAGAAAGAAAAGCAGTAATTTTTTTTTTCTCTTTTTGGAGAATTTTTTTTTGTTATAGGGCACGTGTGCTAGCCAGAAAGACGGAAAGAGACAGAATGCAAGAAATCACCCTCCAGGGGGTATGGCCATACCACAATCTCTTCTCTTCCATTCTCCTCTCAGGATCTTGGGCACACACCCACATGCGCCTGGCATGAGTTTAAACCACTGGGTCTGGGACTCAAACCATGGTCGACTACATGGGAGTTCAGTGACATAGCCATTACACCAACTGCTGGTCTCAGTGGTTTTATTTCAGAAGACTGAACAAAAAAATTAAGGTAAGTGAATACATGAGATAGGTATAGGGCACATGTGCCATTGGGCAATTAATTAACATAAGAAAAAACAGGAGTCAACAGCTGGTGTGGTGGTTAAGGTGCTGGACTCCAAGGTGATCAACCACAGTTTGAGTCCTAGACCTGGCAGCTTGCTTTCTTACTTTCTCACTCTGGTGAATTAAAAAATAATAATAATAAATAAAATTAAAATATATTTTAAAAATAAAAACATACAAAAATAAGTGTAAATACTCTAAGACTATAATGTAGCATAAAAATAAAGTTCCCATTATGTAAATATTTGCACCCACTCTGAGCAATGGATAACATTATCTAAAGATGAGATATAGACCTACTCTTAATG